CCATCTGGAAGACAATATTGAAGGGGAGAGGTCAGACTAATCCCCATCCTATTGTCTTCCAGATGGGCGGTTTGACTGAGGTTTCTTGTCTCGGTTGGTGAAAAATGAGTGAGGAAGAATTGATCCACGTAGATAAGTCCCATTTATCCCAATCCACAGCTTTGCCATCAGGTTCTTGTCGGATCTAAACGCTTGGGTTGTGAACCTCGTTCGTTCTGCTTAGTGGTTAAACTCGCTAGCAGTAGCCGTCCGCTTAAGTGCACCAGATCTATTGTCGAGCTATTTCTTTCGCATACCAGCAAACGATGAAGCTTGATCACTGGGCAATCGTGTAATTTCAATCGTAATAGACAACAAGGCTGAGGCCTCGCGTCTAGATTTGATATCCCCCACTATTCACTTAGACACAACGAGGCTCCAGGGCTCAGCTGGTGATGGGAAGGGATCAACACCATCAGATGTTCATTCGTCACTTCTGCATATCCGCCAACCAACTGCAGTCCCGAGGCTCACTACAGAGTGGTAGATCATACTGGACCATCCGCGTTAAGTTGGATCACGGACTAGTTCAGGCGTGCTTCAAGCCTCGACTCGTTAGTCGTCGCCCTCTCATTCAGCTCAGCCGCAGCATTTATTTATTATTTTCACGCACGAATGAATCCAGACTATGTGCCAAACAAATCATGGTACAATAATTTTTATGATAAAGAAAACGTTCCATGATCTGCATGTGGGTCGAGTACTGCTAAGTTGCCCAGGCCAAGGCAGGTGGATTTTCTCGAGGGATCCACAACCGGAGCCTTTGGTTAGCCAAAGCGTGACCCGCAAGGCAGCGGGATGGTGTGCAAAAACCGCAACCCATTGTAGGCCGGTGTCCATTTGATCGGAGCATACGCCTATTGGACGAGGTCAAACGTCTAAGGTGTCCAATACACCTCGATGTTCAATCGAGCCGGTGACCACTGCCACAACCGGGAAGGCTGGTGTGCGTGGTTCGTACGGCTCCTCTTGGTTGGTTTGTAATCAGGGTTTTCAGCCAACTCCCCTAGGTGAACTGCCAGTGGTTCATCAACCCAGATATAGCACTGGATGTTGGTTTTTCGTCCTCCTACTTTTGTGGGAAATGACCTCCACCATGAGAAAACAGTGAATAGAGCTCCTTCAGCAGAGACTGTTCGTTGTATGGGAGCATTTCTCGACGTGTCAGGGAAGGTTGACGAGCCACAAACTTAGACACCCACCCCCAACCTACTGAGGCTTTTGGAGGCCGCAGCCGCAGCTGCGCGACTCAGCTGTTTGTGCACGTTGGGAAGAGAAGTTTGAAAAGAAGCTATAAGCATCGCGACATGACGGATAGAATCAAATGTGCGGTGCATTCGGCAGTATACTAAACTGTTGGTCCTGGGCCCAAAGTTAATCGAATACATTGGATTTTCCATGAGTCAGTAGCCCCGGAAGTCGTTGTACACCAGTCAGCAAAATCATTTACCATCAAAGTGGACAGTATCCATCATGCAGTTTCATGCGTCGGGTTTGGTTACTGGCTCATATTCACCCATTTAAATTATCGATTAGCGAGAGGAACGCCAGCTTGATTGCTGTTCAGAATATTTCAGTAAACCGTTGAACTGTTTAGTCCGGCAATTGGAGCGAGAACTCCGTGGGCGGTAACCGGTGATTCCCCTATTGGAACTAGAATTACGCTGCACGCTTTGCATCTTCAAAGTACCAAGTGATGTTGCGAAATTGGGTGTCGTCTCATTCGGGTCTATTGGTTGATGCTCTATAGAAATAATTATTATGGATTGCTTCTGTTACTGAGGTTTATGGTCACCAACCGATAACAGTGGCGATCTGTTTTTTTTAATTATCTCCTCATAATGCTTGAAGAGGTGTGTCTACACAGTTGGGTTGTGTGCCGATCACAGATGTTCACTTTTTCTGTCCCCCCCCATCCGATTGGATTCAATCCCTATCCATGTTGTACATTTTTTGCACATTTGTAAATATTGTGAGCTTACAGTAGTGACGAATGCAGTTCGCTTCATTGCATCTCGCTGTAGAATAATGATGGTAGTGATGATGATGATATTATTGCGTGATTTATCGATGTTCACAGTCCCTGGATTGTAACTGCTTTGAATTAAAAACAACTCTACTCTTTTCTATTCTAACTCGCACATCACAACCTCACAATCGATCAGTTATATTCATAACATCAGAAAATTGCACCAATTGGATATTTTTCCGTTCTATATTGCCCGAGGAGAAAGGTTTTGAAAGCAGGCTTTGTTGGGTACCGCATTTTTTCCTAATGTTATGATGGAAATTTTGGGTAAATCACGAAACCTAACGCTTATCACAACCATGGTTGTATGTGCAGAGCGCATCCACGATACTTCTATCCCATGACACAAGAATGTTAAGTGTATTAGTGATTTTAGTTCTACTCTACTTCTGTATTCCATGGTGGGAACATCCTTGATCGATACCATTTAGTCGTATTGTTGCGGAATTGAGTAAATCGGGAAGCCACGAATTCGTAGAACGTTAGTTTAAGCACTCTGACGATTGGCATTAGCGTCCTCACTCGGTGAACTACTGAATCTTGGAACCGACCTCTCTTGTGATTTCTGGTTGTGTTGATCCTACGTTCTCATTTCGTTACAGTGAGACCTTCTCTTCAATCATATCGCACCTGAAAGCTGTATTCCTGTGCTTTTAGGGTTTTGTTATTCCAACTGCCCTTTCTCGCTAACGCTCGAGGGTGTGTATAATTCTACACGTGTATCTGTTTTTCCATACCATTCGTATCGCATTTTCACTCCCTTCGCTGGAATCATGTGTGTCTGTTACTGTTCCTGAACATGTAGGAAGCATGCACACAGGACAAATCGAATGAAAAAAAGCAGAAAAAGGAATTCGTCGTCGCAGTTGATTATTATTATTACCATTTTTGAATGGCATTAGCTCGGCACGATGGTTCATTCCCTCACATGAGTTTCCTTCTGTTCCCCCTTTTGTGTATGTTAGCTCGACACTTCCGTTGTGCTATCGATGCATATTGATAGATTCTCTCGCTCTCTCGTGACTAGTTGTCAAGTCGATTTGTGCGCCTTCGCGAGTACGCTGGCTTATGTGTACGTGTGTGTGTGTGTGTGTGTGTGCGCATGCAAGTTGGGATGGTGTTGATCCAATCCGGATGTGTACAGGTGTTGGTGCATCGGCAATCGATATTCGATGCTTCGACAACCAGTCACACCCAGCTGAGCTCCTAGACTGGATGACAATNACACACACACACACACACACTAGCACTTTCCACTTAGCCGAAATGAGCCTCTAACGACCGGTTGTGATACAGTCATACCTCTAGTGCCTGGTTCTGTCCATTGAATCTGAAAACTGGGCACATCGTTCCCGCCGTTTTTCGATCGCTGTCAGATTTGCGCCCAATCCTGTCTGGTAGAGGGCAGCACGCGCCACGTCACTGCTTTTCAGACACATGCACATGAGTGAATCATGCTCAGAACAATCAGACGTGTCATCTTTGCCTTTCTCTTTGGACTAGTGTTTTCCAGTTCGCCATTTTTGCTGATAATTGTGCAATACATTTATGCGGTCTTTATCGCCCCACGTTTCTAACTGTGGCTATTAAAAAAAATCTGTTGTCATTCTTTATCCCACAATTCCAGTCATCTAGCTCCTACAAGAAAATCGACCCTCGTGCCGACATTATGCTGGCCCGTCAGTTGTCCAAAACTTCCTGTGATGATGAACAAAACGAACCAGTTGTAAGTCCCTTATGCGTATCGTTTTTTGTCTGTTCAGGTCACATCTCAGATAAAGAGGTTAGTTAATCTGTCCATGTGCCATCACCACCATCACCACTAACACCGATATCGCCACCCTCATTCGGTGTTATGTGTAACAGTCTTTGCTTGCTGTCGTTTGGTTAATCAAAGTTGCGATTCAAAAAGGCGCTCTTTGCTTAGACCCGCCAACGTGAGTGGGGGAGAGGGAGAACACAACATCTGGAGAACGACAGCCAGAATGTTTTGGTTGATCATTGCAAGGCACGCATACAAATCTAACAAACAAAAGTGATGCAATAATGCATTGATCCGATTGTGTCCTTGATTCTGCGATTGGTTAATTGGACAACCATTGTCTGATTCATTCAAATGTGTTCTCGATCTGCTGTCGATGTGGCCGGCCGTAGCGTGATCCCGCGGCCTGACGAGTTCTAGAAAATCTGTCCTACTGAAAAATTAATCATCACTGATCCCAGGGCAAAAGCTGTCAGCTGTCGGGATTTTTTATGCTATTGTGACCTCGTGTGGTTCACCACCTCAGGTCTAGGACTGTAGCGGATCGGTTCACGTGAATTCACAGTAGGCTCTTGTGACTGTTTAGTTTACCTCTGCTGTGTGTGTCTGTGTCATCGACAGAGCAGGTAGAATATCTCCAGTCCGCTAAGATTCATTCCTCTCACTGCACATTTCACACCAAAAATCCAAATGAACAGATTTGGAAACTTCGTTTCATACGTGGTATTCTATTGTACTATCGCTTCCTGAATGCGAGGGCGTAGTATTTCATCAGTGACTGATTACATCGTGCAGTATGTCGTATGGCTATAAAGTATACGCCCGTATAGTGTAATAACTGTAGATTACCCGGCAACGGGTACAGAAAATTGTCTATCCAAGATTCAGTATAATCCTACACTCCTGGCGAGAAGGAACGAATTAATTTTCGTCTGGGTTGATCGCTCCTCTTTTTTTATTTCCCGGTCAAGTCGGAACCCGGTTCAATTGCTTTACAGAAAGACCAAAATGTAAAAATTCCTCCGTTACTTTTTTAGATTTGAAAAATATTGCTATTTTGGTTTCCAATTTACACAAGCTGTCACAATTCGACAAGGCGGTCACTTGGTAATACGGATTGCCGAACTACAATGCTCCAACGCGGGAAACGAAGATTGAGTTTGCATTGGAAATTTATTCCCAAATGTGTTGATGGCCCCTCTGTAGTTGTACCACTGGTTGCATCGTGGCCGCATTGGTAAATAATGTTCCTTTTCTTCTCTCTACCTTCCTTTCCCATAAATGGTCTGGTGTGACCTCAGAATGAAGCTTGGGTAAGCAATATGCGTGTTGTCTACGCCTCTGGTTTCTGTTCGCACTGTGGCCTACTCATGCGCATATTTTTTGCACTCCCAATGCGGCCATAATTTATGCTTTCGTGCGCGCTTCAGAATCTCCATTGCGTTCACATTGGGGTAAAAAATATCGTTTGGTTGAATCATTGCTTCCTCTGTCTGACTGTCTGTCTGTCTGTCTGTCCGTCCATCTGTCTGTCTGTCTGTCTCACGTTCCTGTTTATGGCTCTTCTTTATGTTTGCGCTCGCGCACCTCTCTGTGTTTGGAAGGATTCCATCGTTCTGCGAAAGGGACCCCACGGCGAATACGCTTACTTTTTTTTACTGGAAACAGATTCGGAAGTAGGGAACAAAAGGTGATCGAATGCGAAACGCGTATTGTTTACTAGCTCCAACAACCAGTTTGCAACTGTAACGTTGATCGGTATAAGTGTGTGAGAATTCCATACTACTGTAATCCTCACTTTATCCGGCATTCTCTTTGTGATGCCTTTTCATCGTCCTCGTCGTCTCTTTTTTGTTCTCGTTGTTCCTGCCACACAGCTTGTCGTTTTGCTCAATGCGGAGGTCAAACTGCACACTTCTGTTTGAATTGATATTCGCGTGACACTAGCTCCTTATAGGCGTGGCCATACGAGAACTATTTAACCATTATTTTCACTCTTTTCGTGCATCCTTTGATTTCTTTGTACATGAATTATCACGATGAAATAGATATTTTATTCCTGTTGAGGAGTTCAAGGCGGTAGGGGTAGAGGCGATCAATGGGGGGAAGCCAAAGTCAGTGCGGTTGTTCTGATTGCTCGGATGACCGATCTAGCGCTCATTTCAGCCGGTCAGTTGCTGTTTCACAGTTGGATCGGCTTCTGTTTGTCTGTCACTGTTCTATTTTTGTTGCTCTCAGCCATTCTGCTTCCATCTTCTACTTGTCCTGGCTTTTGTTTCACGGTTTTGGGTTCTCATATACCTTATTGCAATCCATCTCTATCTCTCGCTCTGTGTTGTGGCGACCGCCAAACCGATCGTGTTGTAGGATTAGATAGTTGGGAGACACAAGTGGAGCTGTTTCTCTCCTGATGTGACATATGCATTTCGGATGTCTTCCTTATTCGGGTGACTGTATTATGCCTGACAGTAATACGGAGGTGAACTTCAAAAACCAATGAGCTAATTCAAAAGAAGATCGTGTTTAAGCACCTGAAGCGGCAGTTCGATGCAATCCGCTAAAGCTGAACATGTGTGCTTGTCGTGTTAGCATACCACGGTCATTTGTTAACCTTTGGCTTGCACATGGATGTTTCAGCAGAATTTCAGTCGACCGTGCTATCGTAAACACGAGCTCTTAGACAGATTGAAAATAGCAAACAGTTCAGGGAATTGGACAGTGGTGAATTAGTCCTATCGCACGAATCGGACTGTACGTCGCACTGGTTTTTGCTGTGTGCTGCACATGGTGGTGTTTGGGTCACAACTCTCGTTGGATAGAGGATTTGTTTTCAGCAGTCTGTAATTGACCTTGAAGACAATAATGTACTGAAATCGACTGTGACAACTCGTTTTTTGATCGTGGAATCAGCTCCTCCTTTATCATGAACTTCTTGTGAAGATGATGTCACCGAAGGGATAACAGGTTGTGAACCATAATCCTCACCACAGAAGATCACAAATGCCCCTCCCCCTGTCCAAATAAATATTTTATTTATTGTATATAGAAATGAGCGGTTAACTTTCAAGAAGAGGACCGCGGGCATACAAAGGCTGTCTGGAAAAATACAGAAATAGACAAGACGAGCGGTGGTAGAGCGGTTCGAACCCAGGGTCACAATTCGGTGACCCCAAACCACTTGATCGCCACCGCCCTAACCATGTTTCCACCCCCCGTGATCTGAACAGCTGTATTTTTGTTTTTGCGAGCAGACTCATGTAGTTACTCGTGAGTAGTCATGCGGCATAGTTAGCATTAGTGGTTGAGCAGCTATGAGTACAGCTGTCCGTTCATTCAGTTAATCTTTAGTTGTTGTAACTTTTTTCATCAAATTGTGATCGAAATGGCTTGCAATCCCCCCCTACTCACATACTGGAACAAATGGCTATTATGGTCGCTTGGTAACTTCCAGGGAAATCAGTGTTTTTGTGTACTTGGTGGTCTCACCGGATGTCAGTAATTCAAGCCAGGATGGGGTATGACCAAGGAGTAGCACAGTAATCGACTATTCCCTTTTTCTTTTCAGCAGTGAGACTTTCGATGATCCTTTCAGATTACCAAAGTTCAAATATTCGCGTTGCACTAAACCATTGAAGTTTTGAAATTTTCTCTAAAAGTTCACAGTTCATCTTCCTTCATTCGTTGCTTCCCAAGCGTTCTCGGATTTCCAGCTCATTTTCTGCTTTATCTCACATTTTACTGGCAATGGAAATTTCGATTATTAATTTTTCGTCCCATTAGTTGAAGAAATACCATGATTTCAATGTGAACTAAACGAACCCAGTGTGAATTTGATCAGTGTTTCATGGGGGTTCATCGGACAGTCGATGGATTTTCTAACTCACGTATCACAGAAATGCATTCATCACAGACGAGTGCGTGCTAGAATACTCCATTCCGCGCGGATGATTTGCCTTATTGATGACCAGAATACCGGCTTCGCACAAATCAACCTGTTTTCCAACTATCGACACGGATTGTGAATCACCCAATTCCAGGCGGTTGGAGGAAAAGCGTTATTTTTCCTCTCTTCCTATCCCTGCCCTCATTCACACCGTTTGTTGATCATAAAGACGCATTGTTAGTCTGTGTATCCGTGCGATCGTTCGACTGGTTGTCCGACTTGACTATTTAGTCAGTGTTTGACCTACAACTGTCTTGATGAGTACGCACATGCTGTCTGCACGGTTCCCATCAGTGACCTCGTGAGACTGTTTGACGTTCGATCTCTGTCAGGTTGATGGCTAATTGGCGGGTTATCCTTAGGATGTTTTCTACTGCTGTTGGTTCCCCGTTTACCAGCTAAGTAATACTTCTGTGTGAGAAAGCCAAATAGTTGTTGATTTCGGGACACATGTGCACATCCCTAGATGCCAGTACCAGCCAAGTGAAAATCCTGGGGTGTGTGCACGGCAGTCGGAGCAAGTTCGTATTCCGCTCGTTGCGATTGCGCTGTTTTGATTCTGTCTAAAATGTCCTGGAGAATATTTCCCTCCTAATTCGGCAGTGGGTAATGATCAGAAGGTAATTAGTCTATTACCTCTCGGCACAAACAGGAAAGTAGCCGTGGAGCGATCAATTGAAGGTGTATTTAGCCTTACACATATGTATTAGCAATTTTCGGCCACTTATGATGAGATTACATTCAATGCGGTACGACGGAAATACTGTATCCGTTGATAAATGTTCGTCGGGTTTTTCTGCTTTTGTCAGCATCTCGGAGGAGGCTGTTCTCGACAGTAAAATTTTATTCACAGAATGATATTTGGCTACTTACAAATGTGTGAGTAGGAGAAATCAGTGTTGAAGTTATATTTTAGATATTGGACTTCCCCGTTTCGTATGCGAAGCTAGGAAATGCGTTGCATGCATTCTTACTTCTTACACTGAACACACAATGGGTTCATCCATTCTGATTTTTACCTAAGTATTGCAATTTAAAATCAAGTTTATTTTTGATGGCTTTCAATCAAAACGTTTTTCTGGATGGAATTCAGCCCCGTTACTTCATGAACGATGAACGAAGTTCATCATGTTCTATATCACTGCCTTCGGTTCTTAGATATCCCTTTTTATGAAAGTTTATCGAGGTACCTTGTTTTTCCAATTGATCTTTTACGTGATGACCACGAGTTGTTTGGTATTATGACCTGGCCGGTCGGGACATTTCCTGTTCGTTGCTGAATGGCTATTGGCTTAGATGGGAGGTGATTCCGATTCTTGGAGTACTCATTCGACCAGAATATTGGTTTGATTCCTTTCCTGATAACCACCCACTGGCATTTGTGTCCCTCCCAATCTCGCGCATGTTATCAAAGTCATACAATACAGGTAACCGCAAATCATCGCTATTCTGTCTCAGTGTTGAAATTTTCTCGGTAAATTCCCCTAGGGTTCAGTATTTTTGGTGCGTGCCCACTGATACACCTTAATTGTCCTCGCTATCTAACATAAGGTTGTAAACGAGATGAGTTCCACTCATCCGGTTGCGTAACCAAGCGCAACAGCTGGAGATTTTTTATTCATCAGACTGTCGCTCTGAGTCTGTCCGCCTCATGTCAGATAAATAGGATGTCAGGTGTTGCTGATTTAAATTAGACCGTTTGAATCGCGTTCACAGTAAGCCGAATTACGTGCGAATGCACCGTATATGTTCAAAGGTTTAGTCATCAGTATGATGGAAGAGTCATTCTTGAAGGCAGTGGTGGATGTATGAGGGAGAATATAACATTTTGCGTGGTTTGACTCAGTTTTCGTCGTTTTATGACATGGGAGTTGCTCTTCATCCCATGTTTTCCCCCGTCAATGAACGCACCACGCGTATCTAAATAAAATCAATTGATTAGCAGCACATGTTCGCAGTTCGTCCCCCTCCCTCCGCTCCTCGCCTTGGTAAGCGCAGTGACGTTTTTTTCTTTTACACGCGAGGAAGAAATATGAGAAAAAAACAAATTCAAGCAACCATAAATCCGTCATCTCTGCCTTGTAGAGTAGTTGTTACCTAGGGTATGGTAAATCTTTGCCAAGATTTTTCTAGCCAGAGCATGAAAGGTTGTGAAGTACACTGACACTAAGGTATTTGGACAAACTCCACGTAGGGGATGTTCGAATGGTTTCGTTGAACTGACCTTACTTCGAACTCCATCTAGATCAGGGTTTCGCTCTCATTAGAGCTCGTTAGTAGCTCATGTCCACCGTCCCGTCTGGGCTTTGAACTCCGGATCCATCACACGGTAGCCAACTAGCTCACACCGTGGCTGATCACAGTCACCAACTCATGGTTTTTGTTCAGATGATGTCGTCAATAATTTTGACCTGACAACAACAAGGGGTGACAATGTGCTGTCTGTTAACTCCGATCGAAACCTCCTACCACGTCCGGTTAACTTTGCAACTTTGGATCTACAGTTCCGATTGAAAGAAAAGACCATATTGCAATACTGCACGATTTGTGTCCAGGACGATTTCGCTGCATCTCAACATGATGCATACTGCAGAAAATACAGTGTTTATATAGGGCTTTAGCATAGCACCGAAGTAAAGCAAAATACATTAAAAAACAGATAAAACAAAAGAGAGAGGGGTAAAAGCTCCAGAAACCCCTAGTACACAAACTAGCCGATAATTCATTTCCGAAAGAACCGCAGAAATTTGTTAAGAATCTGTCATCTGTCGAGCTAAATCAGCTTCAACTCCGAGCACTTTCATGTGGTCTTCACTTTTGTGTTGCGCCTAAGAAAATCAACAACATTGAATCGCCGGCCCAGCTTGAATATTTTTTCGAACAACTGAAAAAGTTGAAAGCAATCTCAAAAGATGCAGAGTCGCGGATAAAAGCGAAACTGGTTGACTTGGAGCGTGAATACCGAATAACACCATCAAGACAAAAGTCACTTCGGATTCCCGAGCATTTATCCGCTTTAAAGGAGTTAAAGGACAAGTCCGATTTGGTCATTTTTAACCCTGATAAAGATTCTGGGGCTGTCCTGATGGACCGTGCAGATTACCAACGAAAGATGGAATGTATCTTCAATGATCCCAGCAAGTTATTACGAGAAAAGGCATGTGATGACCCCAAAGAGCTGGAACGGAAAATTGCCTTTGAAGTTCAGTTTCTATTAGAAGGACATTTCATCGATTCGAAAACTGCGCGGGACCTGAAGCTGAGAGGAACACAAATTTCCCAACTTTCTGGCCTGCCGAAACTCCACAAGCCAGGTATGCCACTCAGATCAATTTTATCCATGACGAACTCACCACAGCACAAAATGGCGAAATGGCTGGTTAAGGTGTTAGACCCAGTTCATAGATCGATGATCAAGCATACAGTGAAGGACGGTTTTGAATTGTTGGATATTTTGAACAAGGTCAACATAGAAGGAAAACACATGGCTTCCTTCGTTGTTTAATCCCTGTTCGTGAAGTCATACAAATCATCTGCAATCATGTAGAGAAAGAAAATATTCGACTGTCTACCGGTGTCCGTCCTTGAGCATAACCGACGTGTCTTGCTCTTTTCAAGGGAATGCGTACAGGCAAATCGATGGTGTCGCTATGGGCAGCCCGCTAGGCCCGGTCCTGGCAGAATTGTTCATGGCACATCTGGAAGAAAAAGGAACTACTATTCTCTGGCGCGTTATCCTGTACAAAAGATACGTCGACGACACTGTGGTTATAACAGAAATCTTAGAAGAACCTATGATAATTATGGATGAAGTCAACAGACTACATCCAAATATACACTTCACAATGGAATCTGAATCGAACAACAAACTCAATTTCCTTGACATTACAACCAGAAGGGAAGATGGAGCTCAATCCGTTTATCGAAAGGAAACCTGGGCAGGCCAGTATTTACACTTCGAGAACTTTATGCCCCTGGAGTATAAACGTGGTCTTGTTCGGACCTTATTTGACAGAACGAGGCTAATCCGCAAGGAAGACAGAATTGAACAGGAACTGCAAAACCTCCGGGAGTTTTTAGCAAAAAACGCTTACCCCGAAGCGTTTGTTACTAAGCCTAGTAAACCGAGAATTGCGAAGAAACCGATTGCGTCAGCTCCCGAATTCCGGGTCACGTTGTACCTTCAATTCAAAGGTGAGCCGCGTGCATTACAAACAACTGAGGTCAGCAATCGCTCGAACCTACTACGCCGCCGACCCCCAAATCGTCTACGGGACAAACAGGATACCCACACCCCCGGCAAAAGAACGTCTGCCTCTGTACGCCAACTCTAATCTAATCTAACAATTCCAATGTGGTTGCGGAGCCACCTACGTGGGCCGAACAGGGCGACAGTTACACAGTCGCGTGGTGTCCGCCGCATAGAAACGACGTTTGGAACTACAAGACCCCGTCCTCAGTCATTGCTCGATATTTGCTGATGACGCAACACCAGGTCGACCGAGGCACAGCATTTCGAATTGTCTACAAGTCACGAGTCACAAGATTGGTAAGGTTTGCTGAAGCAATTGCTATTAATCGATGGAACTTTATGTTAGTCTTTCCCTATCCTGGTGATAAGGTCCTTTTACCTCTCCCTCTTTTATGTTTTGTCTGTTTTTTAATGTATTTTGCTTTACTTTGGTGTTATGCTAAAGCCCTATATAAACACTGTATTTTCTGCAGTATGCATCATGTTGAGATGCAGCGAAATCGTCCTGGACATAAGTCATCTTTTCTTTTGAAATTAATCCCGGGAAAGGCTTGCTTCAGTTCCAATTGAACCTGCTAGGCCATATTTTTACTTGGGATTTCACTCACATTTTCTTGTTTCTAACTGTTGACAATCATTCTGAGATGATTGGTCAACAGGGTGTGAGAGATGGTTTTGAAACTGAGGGGAACATCAGTTCACTTGCCGGCCGTGAAATCGCCGCAGTAGAACAACAACAACAACAAAAAAAACCATTCCTCAATTGCATTCGGATCATCATAAAGAGAGCTCGAGGAATCAATCTTCATTAGAGTCTAAACTACCAATCACCAGATGCATGATCAACACAGGCTATGAAACTCAGCCCCTCACCCCCCCCCCACTCCGAGGAGAATAATGCGGTGGGTAGATTATCCTTGTACTGAGACATGATGCACTTTGGAGGTTACTTAATCCGTGTTTGGTGAAGATGATCGAATTATCAAATACGATGCATTATCTGTTTAAGCAATAGTCATTCAAAACACCGACTGTCAGGTCAGACTTGGAACCAAAGGCGTTGCGTAATCCAACGAGTTAAATACACAGTGTCGTCGCGTGAAGCTGACAGTTCTATTTACAATTCGTAGTAATTTGGTTGAAACAAACACTTCAACGACCAGTCAGTAGTATACATAATATATGAAATAACTTGGAAAATAATCGTTCAAATAAACAAATCTGTCCAGATGTTTTCCTGTAACGTTATACTCGTTATTTGTTATTCTTTCGCCAGTGACACAGGTCTGTCACATCCGTTTAGTCTGTTTCCTATTCCCTACTCTCTCTCTCTCTCTCTCGTTCATTCCTTGTGCAATTAGATCAGGGTGCGAGAGTTGGGGGTTCTCCCCCCCCTGATGAAAAGTGTTCAATTATTCTGTTTGTTCACTTTCCCTCCCATACACTTCTATATTTACGGATGGATAGTGTGAGAACGATGATCTTATTTTCGTGACCGTCAGAAGCTGTTGAAAAATGTCTTTTTTTGTTACCACATTCTTCTCATAAAGGCATAAATTAGCACTCATTCCTCATCATCAAATTAGTGTGGTCCATGCGGTTCGGTCAACAGCTTGACCATGGCCCAGTTCAAGTTCGATGAACTCAGAAATAATCATCCTTGTCTCTACCCCCCGCCCCCTGTTCCTGGAATACTCATCAGACAGTTTGATACGTGGAGAACGTTTAGGGATAGGGGGGGAAGGGGTAGGTGGCTTTATTTGTTGATCATAAGACTGTCCCCGGCCTGTCACATTGTGTGCTCCGCTGGCGTACAATTCGTTGTTTTATCCGACTGTCTGTTGTGCTTCACAGGTCAATTGGTCCATTTGCGAACCCCGTGTTTGTGCACACGCGAGGGTTCTGTTTTGTTCACGGGTATCAAGCAGCAATGGTAACTCGGCGAATTGAATGCCCAAAGAATCTGTTCCCATAGTCCAATTCGTGCTGACCTATACAAGCCCGTTCTCGAGTGGATAACCCACATTGTGACTGTTCGAACCAGATAAGCAAACTCTCCTCATGGTCCTGTTTTTTTTTTTTTGTTGTTGCGAGAACTGATGTTGTTGATGCGGATCATTATCGGGGTCATTTGGGTGTTCATGTTTTCCCCGACAGTTTGTTCATTCGTTCCCGTCGCCCTATCCCCCCCCCCGTCCCTCACGCACCTCCGCACGCCGTGTTTATCGCTTATCTGGTCTTGTTCATAGGGTGACTGATTCCGTTCGGTCGAATTTGATTAACCCATATATGGATTGCTCCGTGGACTATGGTACGGATTGTATGCGTGCGTGTGTGCGCACGTCCGCCCGCTCGCTCGACACAGTGCAGTTCAGTTAAACAATTGATTATAATTCTGATTCAAATTATTATTACCCATTGGACAGCTACCGTGTGATGTGGAACTCAGTTTGGATTCGGAACGATCCCATCCATAATCATCACGAATCCTGGTACAAGATTAAATAGTGTTTCTCTTAC